ACAAAAGGAAGGTTTTAAGCCTTAGAATCAGACATGGCGTCTTGGTGCATCTCTCTACTCATGTACTGTAGGGTTAGGCGGTACATGTTTGGCTATAGACTGTATATGCTAGGTTGCTCTCTCTCCTCTGTAGATTGCTCTGGAATCAGCCTGTGTGATTGATGACGGAGAGACTATGCTTGTGGAAGGTCTGCGTGTCGCCCCGCAGGAAAGGGGTAAAGGTGTAGCAGGAGTTCTGCTGCGGTTCTGCTCCGAACTGATCAAATCCAAGTATCCAGACGTGAAAGTCAGCCGCCTGACCCGCGATGACCAGCTTGGGCCCAAGGATTTTGAAAAGTATCGTATTATAACCAAGCAGGTATGATCAACCTAACATCCTGGATCATAGAAATCATGGAAAACGTGAAATATTTTTGGGGTGAAATGAATTTATTGTATCCCGCAGGGAATTCTGCTGGTGCGTTTCAGAGCTGAAGAACTCAAACTGCATCTTTGCCAGATGATGCAAACAGAGGGGGTTCGTTCATCAGTGTCCACACGCCAGGCCCCGCCCCCTCCTGTGCGTCTGGATCAAACAGCGATCCATCAGCTCTATCTGAGCACTGAGCTGATGCAGCGAGTGCTTCCCAACGCCACCATCATTCAGGACTGGCAGCCATTTAAGCTTCTACCCAGCAACCTGGCCATCCTCCTGAAGAAGGACATAGACTGGATGGTGGACGATGTGTGCAGCCCTACTGTGGCCAGTCTGTGTACCTTCCCCTTCAAGGTGCCCATTGGAGACGACTGGTAACTATTTTATTATTTATTAAAAAAAATTAATAGAAGCTACAAATTCAATCTTGAAATCATCACATCTATCCTAGAAAACAGATATTTTAACACCTTATTCCATCTTCTCCCCTTTTAGAAATCAAACTGTTATAAAATTGTTTCCTTTTTGGTTTCAGCCATAAAGAAAAAGTTCAGTGGATGTTTTATATAGATTTACAAACATAGTGAAATATTTCAAGCCATTATTTCTTGGAATTTTGATGATCATAGATAATGTTAATCTATATTCACGGTAAATGTCCTTTCTAAGCTCTGGAGAGCAATGGAGGCCCAGGTTGCCAGGTTGCTTCGTTGCTCCGTTGCCTCTGATCTTCCTCATGAACTCGATCTGTAGAGATTAAACGAGATTCTGGTCAATCAGGGAAAGTAACATTTAACCGAGTCCATCTGAAGGCAGACTGAGGAAGACTAGACTGGCTGTGGACCAACACCAGACAATGACATGAAACCCAATATCAACGATTCTGCATTGCAGACCATTAAAAGTTGATTATTGTTATTATGGTGTTTTATAACTCTAGATTGTTTTTGAATTCGTCACAATTACAAAAAAATGACAACTCTTCAAATTCTTGAGAACAAGCACATAGATTTTGTTCTTAGAGTTTCCTATCCAAATGTCTTCCATTCAGTTTGGCTACAGTTGATCTAAAACTAATTCAAACACGTTTATTAAAATCTTACAAGGAAAGAATTATATATTTTTCTTAACATGAATACAAATCAATGAATTCAACTGAATCTGGGTTGAATCAGTGAATCTGAGTCACAAATTCAACTTTACAAGTTACGCTTTTATTTTCACTTTTGACACAAATGATCTGTGAGTTGTGGATAGTACCATTGATCAGACAGCAGGGGGCGATGCTTCTCAATAAGTCTGTCCCAACGGGAAATACATATATAGCCTACCGCCATGTTGCCATGGCGTAACGCCCCAACAATAAGCAGCATTATCTGGGCCCCATATGGAGTAAAACAGGTGATAAAGGTTCAGGAAACGCCTCCAATCAGCCAAGAAGATACAGTTCTTCAATTCTCAGCAGTAGATGATCACACCTGCAGAATAGTGACTGCTCACCTTGAACGGAGCCATTGGTGACGACGCACCCCCCAGTATATTCTGCTGTAAAATGAGTCGGGCTCATGGGGCCCCTCCTCCCCCACGCTCTCTCTCCATTCCTCTCCTGGTCGCCATCTTTACTCCTCCTCTCCCTCTTCGGTTCTTTGAAAGAACGTCTTTATTTTGGGAAGTTATTTCCGATCTTCCAGCGGCTCTTCTTTCCTTTTTCTTTTCTGGAATCCACTTAAGTCGTCATTTTGGTCTCCATCGTCGCTAACTCATTGTACGTAACGGTTATGGTTTTAATCTATGCTCTGGATTACCCATAATTCCAAGTCGTATTGTAAAATATAAAATACTCAAATCGTTCCTTTAAGATCTTTATTGCCGTTTGAAACATATTATATATTTTTTACCAACCGTCTAATGAACTAAACACAGTTATTAGCATAGTAATTAAAAGTGTCTGCTTTGCT